GTCCTGGTATAACAATAGGCTGGGTTTTTGGTATCCTTTATACCTTACAGATAAGCCCCCAAACTGATTTTCAAGTGTGTCCTGGTATAACAATAGGCTGGGTTTTTGGTATCCTTTATACCTTACAGATAAGCCCCCAAACTGATTTTCAAGTGTGTCCTGGTATAACAATAGGCTGGGTTTTTGGTATCCTTAACCATGTTATTTATTCATTATTTTTTAATTAAAACACTTTGAAAGTAACTTAATACATGAAAACTGTTTGGAATAAAAGGGGGTTTCATGGTAAAAAAAGAATAGAAAAAATAATCACGCTGAGGACAATTTTAGCAAAAACGTTCCCACACCTAACTCGTGCAATAGCCAATAAATAATATTAACTTACGATCAGAGAAATCACGCTGAGGCCAATTTTAGCAAAAACGTTCCCACACCTCACTCGTGCAATAGCCAATAAATAATATTAACTTACGATCAGAGAAAGCTACCTTTTTGATGGAAATTAAAAATCAACCAGATAATGGTCGTAGCTAATTAAATACATCATCCGTAACCTCAAATGCATTGGTTAAGTACCTTCTTTGTTAACGATCTATTCGGTCGTAAGAACTATATATTACGAGGATCGGGCAGGTTAAGTGTTTTTGGTTAAACCCAAACCAAGATACTAAGCTAACAATGTAATCTATAATAGAAGTATAATTAAAATGTAAAACTATATAATCATTAAAGAACAACGAATACCAATAGGTTCACACGTTCTTCTCTCACAGAAATACGAACAACTTTCATTTAGATTTGACTGAAATGTTATTTCTTTTATAAACAACAAAACTAAAAAAAACTATGATGTGAAATAAGTTCACCGAAATTTGTTACTGGAAATGTAATATCAGTTAATGCACGTAGGACAATACTGAACTGTAGGCCTAAAAATGCGTGATAAGATAAAAATGTCACGATATTTTTGTATTAACTGAAGCCTCTTAGACAGTGACTTGTCAGAGATAACTAGGGCTAAGTAAAAAAAATATTGTTGCGTGCGACGAACTTCGGCAATACAAGTCCGTTCTTAATTAAAACTAGTTGATTCTTTTTCGATACAACTTTATAATACACTTAATTTCCACAGTCACTTTAAACTTAACAACCTTTATAACACACGCTATAAATCACAGTGATTCACACACTTTACTTACGGTGCCTACTGTTCGCTTAACTCAGTTATCTCTATCTGCATATCTATCTATCACTGGCTTATATACTAAAAAAGATGGCGTCTAGCAAACACTGGGACATTCACGAGGTTCCCCGATAAGTCGTGATCCTTCTAGAAACTTCAGCGCGCATGCTCCCAGCGTCGCGTGACTTCCGCTGTCGTAACAATGTAAACTTTAACGTCCGGAGTTTTCAAAAAAAAGAAGGAGGAGGTCCTTTTTCTTTAATTGACCTCTTTGAAAAAAAAGGTTTAACCTTTCTTGTCATGATTGTTGCTTGTTTTCAAAGGGTCCATGTCAAACAGACGTCTTTCATTTTTGTCATGAAAACTTGGGGAAGGCGGCTGGAAGAAAGGAAGCTAAAGATGTACATATTTTTCAACTTGGCTTAAAATGTAACTTCAGGTAGCAGGCCTGTCGACGGTGGGGGGTAACTGCCCAGGGAATGAAACCTAGTTATGTCGTAAAACCCGCAAAGCACCTTTAAGCTATATCTTCATTTGGTCATAAGAAGCATAGTTTTGGCTTTTTTTTTGCATATAGATGTTTGATACATTAAGAGTGATTGAAATAATGATTTGAATAATAATTAATATGTATTTATTACTTTATACATTTAATATATATTTGTTATTACTTTATTAACGTTTTTACTGTGAACTTAAAACGGCTGCTGATATGATTTGTCCTTGTTTATGAGCTTGTTGCTGTCCTAAGTTAGGATCTTTTTAATAAGTTCTTTAAAAGGTTAAAAAGAGAGAAAGGGGGGGGGCGAGGATGTTTGCCCCGAGGCCCATGCTGGCTCTCGACGCTCCTGTCAGCTAGTGCAATACTGAACTGTAGGCCTAAAATGATATTTTTACAGTGCAGAAGCTAGTGCAATACTGAACTGTAGGCCTAAAATGATATTTTTACAGTGCAGATTTATACGTTACTTATTCATCTTATTGTAGAACCGCTATAAATGCCCTCACATGTTGGACAACAGAATTTATATTACCCGAGTACGTGGGGTCCCGGGGGTTAATACCTTTATTATCATTATTTGTTGTGAGATGTATTCATTGATGTTAAAGTTGGATATGTGTTTGTTCGTATCGGGACATGTTACGTTTTTTAAAAACGTTGTCTCGGATGTTTACGTATGAATTTAAATTTTAGGGCATTTGAAAACCTGTTATGTCTCAAACATTTCTGGGACTATAGAGCCGATTTGAAACATCCCACTATTCGTTGGTAAAAGAGTAGCCCAAGAGTTGGCGGTGAGTGGTGACGACTAGCTG